TGTGGGATGGTAGCAGCATCCCAGCCTCCACCCACTGGGCAGACACCACCAGCATCTTTTCCCAAGTGGTCACAACCAAACTGCCTCCAGACCTCACCTAATACCCCCACAGCTCTTTAGATCTGCCACCACAAATCTTTAACCCTCCAAAGGATCAAGCTGTTTTCAAGTAACTTAGCAAAATCAAGCTTCCAGCAATGTAAAATCCACAACATCCAAAATTCAATTGAAAATGACTTGGTACGCAGAAAAGCAAGAACACATGACCCATAAATGGGAGAAAACCGATCCGTATAAACACATGCAGAAATACACGGTCTGACGATTAAGTTCGAGAGCTCATTCTCGAAAAAATGCCACCTGCCACTTCATTGCTGAATATGACTGTGGTCACCTTTGAAGCACGGCCCTTGGGAAGCTATGTGCCGATGCCAGTGCCTAGGCCAGCCTTCAAGCAATTTTGGGATTCTTTTTCTGGAAGGGCCATCAGAGTGATTGTTGAATTACCCTAGATGTCCTGAATGTCATCAAAATGTCTTCCTTTCAGTATTTCCTTTATCTTCAGGTAAAGAAAAAAGTCATGGGGGTCAGATCAGGTGAGCAGGCAGGGTGTTCCAATGCAGTTATTTACTTATTGGCTAAAAACTCCCTCACAGACAGTGTCGTGTGCGCTGGTGTATGGTCGTGATAAAAGAGCCATGAATAATTGGTGAAAAGTTCAGGCCATTTTCATCTAATTTTTTTATGTGGCCTTTCCAGCACTTCTGAAGAATAAACTTGTTAACTGTTTGTGCAGTTACCACAAATTCATAATGAATAAGCCCTCTGATGTCAAAAAAGTTTAGCAATATCGTTTTGACTTTTTTGGTTGCAGAGCACTGGCTGACTTCGGTTGTGCACTTTGGAGCTGTGTTTCAGGGTGGGATTGACACACCCAATGTCATCACCAGTGGTAACATCGTCCCGCCTCCCCAAAACATCCTGGCAACCTTCCACTCTCCTCTGCTTTTGTTCATCAGTGAGTGCCTTTGGGACCGTTTTTTCACACACCATTCTCATGTCAAATTTTTAGTTAAGATTTTCCTAACTGTTGCTCTATCAATGTTTACTTGGTCTGCTATACTTCCCATAGTCAGCCAATGATTTTGACACACAATTCGATAAACTTTTACCACATTTTCATTAGTTTTGCTTGTTACTGGCCACCCTGACCTGTCTTCATCAGTTGCTTCTCAGCTACTTTCTCTCCCCTCCAAAAAATCATTTAATCCATTTGTACACCGACGATTTCTTCATGGCATTATCCCCATAAACTTGGACTAACATGTCTTTAATTTCTTCCACTCTTGCCAAGTTTAACAATAACTTACTGTGTGTTTGTTGCTCTAAATTAAGTGCTGACATTCTCGCAACAACACACAGAAACACACAAGAATAATGATGGCTCTCAGCAAGACACCACCACACACTGACATGAACACAGATCTGAGATGCTGTTACACCAAGGTTATGAAACCTTACCAAGCTGTTTGTACAGTGCTGCCATGAAAGTGCCTGGTAGCAAGTTTGCTTACTTAACTGTCTCCTAACAGAGACAACGATGAAATAAGCAGACCAGGACCTTAAAATGGCTCGAGAAGGTAGAGGAAAACATGAATGTGATGAGAAGGAAAAGGGAGATGAGAGAACTGCCTGCTAAGTGTTGCTGTTTGTTTACTGCTGATGCCTCCACATTGCTCGGGGCCCATTGAGTCCCAGTCGCCTTGGCTGGGCTGTAGGCATAATTCTTACACCCCACCAGAATGGAGCACGACTGGCTACATCTAATTTTTAAAAACTAAATGAGTAGGAAAGGGAGATGGAAATGATGATAGAGGTTTTGAAAAATATTGAGAGACATGGCCAAACAGTGATTTCCAAATACAAAAACTTTTCTTGACTTATCTAATGATTAAATGTATTAGAAACTGTCACCTGTCCGAAGACAGATGGGCAAGCCTCCGCTCATGCCCCTCAGCCTGCACCTGTCGTCAGAAAGGTCTCGATAATTAATTAGGGGGATGCCTACTCACATTCAAACCCTGGGAGATACGAATTCTGTGTGGCTTCCCTTCTGAAAGTCGGTGAAACCATCTGAGCTATGTCACATAGGGAGTCTCAGTTTGTGTCCAGGCTTGCAATGTGGACCACAGGCAGAGCTTAACCATGGGCCCATCTCACTGCCCAGTTATGGATAAGTTGCTGTCTAAAATTTATCAAAAACAAACAAACAGGCTCGGTGCCTGTGGCTCAAGCAGCTAAGGCACCAGCGACATACACCTAAGGTGGCGGGTTCGAATCCCCCGCCCACCTGCCAAACAACAGTGACAGCTGCAACCAAAAAATAACCAGGTGTTGTGGCAGGCGCCTGTAGTCCCAGCTACTTGGGAGGCTGAGGCAGGAGACTCGCTTGAGCCCAGGAGTTGGAGGTTGCTGTGAGTATGATGCCATAGCACTCTACCCGGGGGGATAGCTTGAGGCTCCATCTCAAAAAAAAAAAAAAAAAAACAAGGGGAAGCTGTCCCCTTATCACACTGTATTTCTAATAGTCTGGGCATTTTATAGTCAGAAGGAATCAAGGCTTTGTAAATATGAACCCAGGAATCTTTGGCACCCTCACTGCCATCTACATCTGACCCAAGGCACTTTTCAGCACAACAGGTTCTGCCCATGGCCCATATCAGAAGGTAGTGTAACTAAGGAAATGAGTGTGGCTAGAGCCTCCCTGGCCCGGAGTTATACCAGGTCACTGCTTGTTCTAGAGAGAGGTGGCTTCTCCAAGCATTAAGACAGCTCAGGACCGAGTCAATAATTTTAGAACAATCCTAGTCTAGAGAACTCAACTCAACACATTTACAGGTCTCTGTGGGAAGAACTTAAAATCCATAAGGTTTTTACAGAAACAAAATCTACAAAATTCACTTTCACTGTAGAATCCCCCAGTTTCTTTAAGCCAGCACCTGTGTGCTTTGAGAGTTCATCCCAGGGACCCTTCTCATTTTTCATCCCATTGGGTACTTTATGGTCAAAGCCTGGGGGCAGGTGAACCAATGGCCTTGGAGTTGATAGAAGAGAAGGAGTCACTGGGCTGAGTCCAGCAGCAGGACCCGGAGCCTGCAAATTGGGCTCCCTCACCACCGCAGCTTGGGAACTCGAGCAAGGACGTTTCCTTCTTTCTGGGTTTCCTAATCTAAATGGTGCTGGCATGCTCTGGTGGGAGTAATATGAAGAATAGTTCAACGTATGTGGAATAATTTAAATTCTGAAGTGTTTGCTACTAAAAGTCAAGAGTGGAACTTGAAACTGAGAGGGACGAGAAGTACAGGACTCTTGTGATGGTTTGCAAATTTGTCTTGCCCTTGAGCCAAGGACAAATGCCTTGCCTGGGCCACTTCTGCGGTCATGGACACAGTGAACCCCACCAGCCCACTTCTGCAGTCATGGACACAGTGAACCCCATCAGCCCATCAGACTGATTGCAGAGGGTGGGGACGCGTTTCTGGCCCTCACTTTAACCTTAGCTGTTCAGCTGATGACAGGTTGTGCCAGCTGATGGGGGGTTGTGCAACACACACCAAAAGGTGACTATGACTGTCAGTGTGTTTATTTTTTATAAGCTCCTGCAAAGATGCACTTTTTTCTCATTCAGAGTAGCTACAGGAACAGATGAAAATGCATGAAAAAAGTAGGAACACAAGAGCTGCTATTTGCTATATAGGGTTTAAAATGGAGCCATGAACACTTCTGGAAAATGTATAACATAATTCAGCAAGTTTTTCTTTCTCTGGAGGACTGGAAAATAACTTCAATGAAAATTATACGATGATGAAATTCTGTCCCTATCCGATTAATTACTTGTGAATAATAACATCTCTGATTTCCTTCAATTATATTCTAATTGCACACCTTTTGCTCTGGTTGATAGGGCAATGAAGTAATGAACAACTATTACTGCATTTAATTAACACCATTATTTCTGTGCCCTTTACATCTCTGTTGCAAACATGGAAATTCACACTCTCAGGGCTGGAACTGAAGAAACCAGCTCGGAACCTGCAAAACCTGTTCCTTCCACATTGTACTGGTTTCCTTCTGCCCAGTGTGGGGAACAAAAGACCTGGAGTGTTTGCCAGCGTTCAGGAAAGGCTTTCCTAATAATGCATCAACATTCAGAAAGGTTGGCTTTTCATAAAGCATTAGCAATTTGCATGTTACATTTATCAAAAGGGCTGAGTAAGTGAGCTATATGGGAGTCATTTACAATGTCATTCATAATTTATTCCATGTACAATAAGAGCCGATAAGATTTCGTGCATGTTTATTTTCTAAAAAGATAACTGCCTGGGGCTGTTACAAGCAGAATACAAGTACATTTCACAGTAATGAGTTTATCTCACTTTGACATTTTAGATCTCTAAAGTTCTCCTTTCTTCCCCCTACTAAGTTGTCTCTGCTTTAAAATTAGAGCTCACTCTCAAAAATTAAAAGACCCTTCTTACTGGCCCCCAACTTGAATCATTCCATTTTAAATTGTTCAAAGCAGGCCAGAAATAGTCCCCTGAATAACACATCAGAAAACAAATAGGAAATTGCCTTTAAAGACAGATGATCACAAACTTAGAGAGCTAAGCATGTTTAACTCACAGGAACATACTTCAGTTTCTATGTGTGGATACAAATTACCCAACTTGGTAGTCTTTGGAGCCCCATTAAATATTTGTAAATGCAGACATGTGTAATGCATAAATTACATCCATCCAATATGCTTCCTCCTTCCCCTATATTTCTAAAGCTGAAATATATTAAGAAAAGAAAAAGCCTTCTCCAAATCCCTTGGGAAAGTCTACAAGCAGATGTGATAATTTATTGGAGCAGAGAAGACTCCCGGGCTGTCTGTCTGAAAAGCAAAGCTCCTTCTCTGTCTGAGCCCATCGTGCGCCCCCCGCGCCCACCAGACATACCTCGTATCTGCTGGCAGTCTGCTCAGCCGTCTTCAAGCCTTGGCACATACGGATGATACAGACTTTGGCTCTTCTCTGGGAGGGAAACCAGTTACTCTTCACAAAATCCATGACCATTACATGGTTTTTCAACTCCGTACTAAAGGTTTTTATCTGAAAAGTCCGATGCACGGCCGTTTCCGCATGGAGGGAGTCGTACCCCTTCTGGCGAGTTTGTGTAGGAATTCCAGAGTGCTGCATGTTACTCAGAATCGTGTCACTTCAGCTAGCAAGCCTGGCAAACACAATTTTCTTTGTTTAACCCAGGTATTGAGTGCGGCAGGAGGGACGTGGGAAGTGGCCCAGCTTGGTCCTGGCCCAGTGTTTTCCAAATCCAGAGCTAGTTGTTCCCAAATACCAGTTGCAGTGGTGAAAGATGTGGACGTGGAAGGCTCACAGGTAGCCCTAACATGCCACTTAGAAACAAAACAAAACAAAAACCTCCTTGCTGCCATCTGCCAGCCTCCAGCCTCACGCCTGAGCTCTCGGGTCACTCCGAGTCGTCTCTGATTTCAAAGGAACATTTCTCTTTCCCACTGTGTTCAAGTTTTAAACACAGACTGTGCTTGCTAACTGAGAGCTTCAATGTGTTTTCAGGCTCCAGCCCTTCAAATCCAAGTAAATTATTTACAAGGCTCTGTAGAAAGGAACCAGGAGGAATAATTGTTGCTTTTTAGATTTCCTGCTTCTACTTGGCGGGGCTGAAAGGAACAAGTGCAGATTGCCCAGCCACACAAAGAGTGTCCTCGGCTGGACAGCAAAGAAGAGACACACTCAAGCGAAAAAGAGAACTCCCGGCACAGAAGCAGGGTGGCTACGAGTGAGTGGCGGGGAGACGGCGTGTCCCGCTGATGGGCAGAAAGGGCACTGGCTCACATGGGGGCCCTGGTCCTGCAGCAACCTTGGGAAGGCCCGAGCCTCATTTTCCCCAGGAGTAAAAATGGAATAAAAACACCCTACCCGCCACTCACAGGGTTACCGTGAGGATCTATCAAGCAAAGCGGCGAGAAAAGGGCAGCATGTGCCAGAGTCGTGGTACCATCACTTTCAAAGCACAGTTGTCCATTTTCTGCCCAAATTATTTTGGACTCTGTATGTATAATATCATGATTTACATGATGCTAATATTTCTGAATTTCAGACCATTTACCAATGCAGATCCACGATAAAGTCCACACTTTTTTATTTCACGTTTTGATGTCATTTTATTAATATCGTAATTTCAAGGAGAAGTGGTAACCCTTGGATCAAGAACGTGCACCAAGGAGAACCAGGTGACAAGGACCAGGGCCCAGTTCCAAGTCCACACAGGACTCTTCTCCACAGGTGACTTCCTTGTGGCTTTTGGCAACAATGCTCATTTGAATAATTAATTCACCTGCCTCATTTAAAAGTCATGGAGAGGCTAAATGAAGAAAGACCTTCTTAACTTTCCTGAAAACAGCTGCAGTCCTAGCCCGGACCCACACGCCTTCCTGCTTTCAGTAGAAACTTTGCAAATCCTGCTCATTGGGGCTGAGACTCGGTGATACAGTGCTAAACTCTCCCTTGGGAGGCAAGGGAAATGTTTTTTGAAGCCAAGAACTAAAATGATGGGAGGACAGAGATGACCTTAGACACCTCAGGCCAGCGTTCTTATTTGAGTGTGAAGATGACAGACCCAGAGACTACATGCTGGCCATGAAGTGGGGCTCACTGTCTCTGACCCCAAACACTGCCGCCCAGTGCTGCCTGTGGTTCTCCCATGAATGTCAGTGAGGACGGCAGGTCCCAGCTGATGCCAGCCATGGCTGATTCAAACCTGAGAGTCACACGAGAAACTTCCCACCGAGACTGCCCGTCAGCCACTAAGACCAGCCGGCGAGGCTCCCTGAGAGTGGACTGGGGCAGTGAGTGCACTTACCACTGTCTGCAGGGGTTATGGAGATTCCCACGATTGATCATCAAGGCCATGAGTGACTTTTCTCTTTCCCTGGATTGAGGCTGGTGGCTGGACTTTAACTGACCAGTGTGGCCACAGGAAAAAGCAGTAGTGTTGCCTCCAGCAAGTCTGCAGAATTCTTGGGCAACAGAGCAGGACAGCAGCCTCGGGATTATCGGTTCTCATCATTATGTGGAGAAGGAGAGGGAGGCCCAGAGAGAGGGAATCTGGATGAGGGGATCAGAGGGCTGGAATGACCACAGGAAGGACAGTCAGAGACAGCCTTGAACTAAGCCTCACAATAAAGCAGCAGGTGATTGTGGACCAGCCCCCTCCTCTCGATTTAGTTTTGATGTCTCCAGATTCCAGAGTATGTGGACACCTCGGCAGAAAGCAGCCCCACACACCCCAGGGCCAACCACCTCCAGGAAAGGACGAGGTTGGCCCTTGTGGATGGAGGCCCCTTCCTGTCTGGGCTGCTGAGGCAGAAGGGGACTCACTTCTTTCCATCTGACCTTGGAACTGTGGCTCTTCATGCCCCACAGGACCACAGGCACCACTGTCCCATCACTATGTTGACCTGAAGCACAGTCTACAAGTCAGAAGACGTTGGACCCCTCTGGGGATTACAGTGCCAGCCCAGCAACCTCAAGCAGGGTGCAAACCTTGCCTCAGTTTCCTCCCGTTTAATAGTAACAACACCAGTGCCATCTTCAATTCTGAGCTGTGAAGATGGAGGCCCTGGCACAAAGTGCTCGGGCAGAGCCTGGCACTTTGCTTGATAGGCACAGCTATCGTCACCACCCAAAGGCAAAGATTTTAAACACAGTAAATTATCAGACATGTCATTTTAACACCAAGAAAGGAGGATTGTTAAGGAGATGGGGCCCTTAGGAAGTAATTAGGGTTAATTTAAGTCATGAGGGTGGAGCCTCCTGACAGGATTGGTGGCCTTATGAGAGGCCCAACGGAGAGCTCTTCCTCCCCCTGTGAGCGTGGAGGAAAGCCCGTGAGGGCACAGTGAGAAGGTGGCCAATTGCAATCCAGGAAGGGAGGCCTCCTGGTCCCCTTCTCTCAGACATCCTTCCTCAAAATCTGTGAGAAATTTCTGTTGTTTAAGCCAATGCGATATTTGCTATGGCAGCTGGAGTTAGGACTAAGACAATCCCAGAGAACCGTAGTACAGGGTGACAGCTGATTGGGCCCAGGGTGAGCACCTGGCCTACAAAGGGCACTCTACATCTGTCCTGGAGATCCTTGGTCCTGGCAGTGAGCAAGTGTTGTGCCGGCATCATGAGATGGAACATTTCAGCCAATACTGGTGCAAGCAGCAGCTGTCACAGGGGGAGGCCGAAACCAGAAATAGGATGGTTCCGGAATCCTGGGTCCTACCCAGATCACGTCATGTGTGGGGGCTCGAAGAGATTCATTTTTATAATATTTTCTTCTTTAAACTTAAACTATTTAATTTGGGTTTCTGTTACTTGCAACCAATAGAATTTGCATTAATCATTGAAAATTCATTCTTTTATTAAACAAACAGATGTGAAGTGCTTTTGTGCCTGGCAGTGTCCTAGGCACCAGCTGTTCAGAGATGAAAGGGAGTTCACTGTTGAGCAGTGGGACATGTGCCCTGACAGTTACTCAAAGCACAAATTAAGCTTCCTGTGAGAGTTTGCACCGATGTGATTAAAATGTGGCATTGAGTCTTGAGCAATGACAGGGTAGTGCTCCCGTGCTGAGCGCTGCATGGACCAAAGTCAGTTGCAGGACATCACTTTCACTCTGCTCATACGCTATGTTGTAAAACATTCACAGCCAAGAAGAGCAGGCATTAATGGAAGCTACATTTACTGCTAATTATCATCACTCTTTACAGAAAACAACTCCCTGAATCCTTTGCCATTTTTGTCCTTAAAGCAAATAACTCAGTCAACTACTATAAAAGTTAGATCTCTGACCTTATTGATGTCCTGCGGAAGATCCTATTTAATTTCCCTAAATTGGTCCCTGGGGTGACTAACTGAAACTGTGACATTGTTAGCAACTGCAAATCAACATCAAGGAGCCTCCCGCGTGTTTAGGGTTGAACTGGATGGGAAATTAATCTCTTCTCCCTCTACCCTGATACAATATGCAGAGCTGTATAGGATACGCATTAAAGTATTTAAATAATGAATTATTCAAAAAGAAAAGGAACCTCAGGTACCTAATGCCAGAACTCATGCCTGTGAATTCTTAATCTGTTCTCCGAATGGGATTAGCATTTACGACTATGAGAGATGTCCTAATTATGCAGAATTTCAGAGTTGATTTTCTGTAGGGCCTTGTGCAGATCTAAAAAGCATTAGGCAACAATAAAAACAGATGACTATGAATTTCTGAATTCATAATTTAGTTTCCCTTACGGGGGAAGTGACATTTTTATTTATGGGCACTTCACTCATCAGGTGGGTGCTGAGATCTTTTTCTTCTCTCTCCCAGGCACGAGGCTTGCTGCAAGCACATCTAAACAATCATCCTTTTAAAACAGATGTGTGAAATTTACAGGGCTGTCTGACACAGGACTGATGCAATATATTTCTCCTCTTGTTAGGCCCTACCCGCTGGGACGCTAGAATAACACAAAAGGCCTGAGAAGAAAATGGCGGAGTTAAGGGATTCTAGGCCTTCTAAGCAGGTTAGGGAGAAGATACAGGTTTTCTTGATGAATTCCTCCCTTCGTCTGATTTCTCAGCTCTGCAAAAGGAGTAACCATTCCCGGGATCAGTTATAGATGCTTAATAAGTAAGTGTTTAATGGATGAATGAAAATAAAAAGTATCAATTATCTTATGCCTTTTTCTTTTCTGTAAGTAGAGAGCTTTTTTTTCCTTCTTATTTATACAATGTTTGGAAACCACGATAATTTGATATTTCCCCCAGATTTCCAAGGGCAAATTCAAAGCACAGGAGAAAACTGGAGCAGAAGCACAGACAATATTGCCACATTTATCCACAATATTCATTTTCTCCCCTTTTTGCAAGCAATCAATAATCATTTATTTAGCCCCCACAGGGCGTTCAGCTCTGTGCCAACTACTTCGATTAAACATTCAAAGCCCTTTCTAACAGTGCCAAAAACCAAAGCAGCCGCGGTCGGGGAGAGCTCATCCATCCTCCTCCAAACTCACCAGGAGGAGTGAGCTATTTGAAGACAATAAATGGAATTTTCACATTTTCCTCCCTTCCAATGTCTCCAGGAGATTTTCAATACAGAAAACCATGACTGTCAGAAACTG